AAAAAAAAAAAAAAAAAAAAAAAAAAAAAAACACATCTTAGTAAAACCAATACCTTCTCAGCTTCGCATCGAAGCTAAAATTACCAACATAATGACAGAAAAATATCAAAAAAATGTATATATAAGGGCTTTAAAAAAAATATCATAATTTCTCTTTACTTAAATTAATTGGAAAGTAGTATAAATTAAACGATACTTCATAAAAAAAGGTTTTAGGAACTTTATAGCTATTTTTTGTAAATATTATTGTATGTTTTGATTTATATTTTTTACAAATAAAGTGATGAATATAGTAAATTTATAATAAAATTAATCAAAATTTATTTTTCCTAGTATTAAATTATATAACTGAACCAAACTTTTTTTTTTAGTAAAATTTAATAGCTTTGAATACTATAAACAATCTCATCCATAATATTAGATTTTCACAGTAGATTTCTAAGAAATTACACCAAGATGATTGAGTTGCTCCTACATTATAGTAAGTAACTTTTTACTGATTATCTTCTGTTATCTTGAGTCGCGTCTTTTTTATTATATAAAATATATCAATGAGAATTGTGAATAGGTTTTATAGGCTTATTTTTAAATGTAATGCTTCTTTAGTGTTGTTTATATTTTTAGGTATCTTATTAAATAATCTTATTTTAATATACCATTGTTATATTTAGACCAAAGTATTTTATATGGTACTTTATAATCTCTATGATTTTAAAAACCATTTAATTCCTAAATTAAAACTTTTAATTTTAAATTTACTTTAAAATTAATTTATTTTATTTTATATACTACAATACCTATGATTATGTTCGCGGATCAATTGTTAAATTTTCTTTTAACGAACAATTTTTTGTATGTTAATACTAGTTTTTAATAATTAATAATAATATCAAAAAAGGGTAGCACAGTGGGGTCGTGGCACAATATGGACGTAGCATAGTTGGGACAAGTATAAACGATATCTGACAGTGATTAAAATCACTATCATAAGAAACGCTTCGATTCAAATCTGTATTTCTTTGATTATATCCTAATTAGTAGTTCTTTGATTTTAAAATATAATATATGAATAAATACTAATTATAATTATTAAATTTAGTATGAAATTGATATTTAACAATTTAATATAGTAATTTATACGGAGAAATTATAAAAATAATAAAGAAGTTTTATTTTGCTTTACTTTTACGTGTATAAAAATTTCAAGGGCTTGATACAATATTCTTCAATAAAAACTGTTTGTTACTATAAATAAATGCACTGGACTACAAGGAACTTTCATCAGAAGCAAAAATATACTTTTCTAAATTAAATTTTTGCGTTGCTCTCAAATCTGCAATTAGACTTTTTCTATCACTTCTGATTTTTGATATTATAACTAATTACATATAAAATAATAATTAAATCAAAATAATTATTTTTTCGAATTATCACTCATTTTGATTTTTAATATGTTAAACATAATCAGTCCAAAATTTAATTTTTAATCTATTTTTTGGTCCTTTAATGTTGATGAAAAATTTTCGATAAAGATTTATGAAAGTTTATAGTAAAAAAAATTGAATATATTATCATGACTTTTAGCTCAATTACAAGTTTAAAATTGACATCTAGGCCAGTCAACAAAGGAAAAATTGCGGAAAAAATTTCTAAACAAATTTTGTTTTTTTAAAAGTTGAATAAAAATATGTATAATGACATACTAATAGTCCTCAAGATTGGAATTGAGCTTTTTTTTTACAGCCTCGCAAAAGTTCAAAAATATGAGCTTTTTTAATTTTCTCAAAAAATATTTAATTTACAAAAAAAAGTTTCGTATAAAATTTGTTTAAAAGACAATTATAAACAAAAAAATTTTCTTATATTTTTTCATTTAAACAAATATTTTTCGAGTTACATTACATTTAATGTGAGTACTAAAATTTATATTCCATTTTTTTCATTTTACGGTTACTTTTTATCATGTTATACTTACATTAGACACAATGTTATAAATGCATATGTGTGTATGTGTGAGTTTATTTATTTATTGTATCATTAAAGTGTAGTGTATATTAATATACAAGCGATAGAGTAGGTAATTGATTTGACGCTATATTATTTAAACCCAACTAAACGCTAAATTGTACATTCCGAAATAACAATCATATTATGTCAATTGCCACCGGAATATCTGGTAATATTTTTCTTTTTCTTTGCCTTAATCCCAACTACTTGGGGTCGGCCACCCTTATCCTAAGCTTCCACTTGACACGATCTCCCACATCTTCTACGCTCACATCAGCTGTCCTCAAATCGCATTCAATAGCATCCCTCCATCTCTTTTTTGGTCTTCCTCTATCTCTTCTTCCTTCAACATTCATTTCTATAACTGTTCTTACAGCTTTCGATTCTTCTTTCCTCATACCATGACTAAACAATCTAAGTCTATTTTCTGTCATCTTATCCACGATTGACGCAACACCTATACTTCCTC